AAGCCGGAGATAGTGAAATTATCTAGCCATAAAGTATAGCAGCTCAGTCTCCAAATCTGCTAATGGTTGGTTAGTTTTCAAATCATTGGGTGTTACTATTGCACTATTAAGCAAATCAAAACTTTACCAATTTTATTTTTTTAAATTACTAAATCCACGAAGATTTATTTTTCCTTTGAATTGAGAAAGATACTTCAGAAATTCGAACTTTACTAGATCAAAAATGTTCGCAGTATAAACCAATGAGAATTGCTAGTCTATTACTTCGATTGCATATTAAATAATAATAGTTCCATCATTGTTCCCGATGGCATACAAAAAAATTAGCGTAGTGTCTGTCGATGAAATGCTGGAACAACTGTTTGTTGTTTATTCGAAGAGGTGATCGATCGGTATACCGTTTACCTCGAAATCGGCCCAGCGGCGCATTCTCCGAGATCCTGTTTATTTCCGGAATTATGACAATCTAAAGATCTAAATTTTGTTTCGTATTTTATACTGTCAATGGCCTCGGAATATGAACTATTAAAAAACAAAAAGTAATTTGATCTATGGTTTCATCACATGGGAGAATGACCGGCTAGTATGAACATTGCAAATGAACAATGGCGTGTATTCACAGAATGTGTATAGTGTAAAAAAGCAAGAGATATATCATTATATTATATTGAATTACAATCGCTAAATATCATTCAGACAAAATGAGCTGATAAACTATATTGACAAAATATTACATAATAGAGACACACGTTTTGATATAACATATAAATCAGGTATCAATAGTAATTTAGACTAAAAAGGGCAAATGGATTCTTTCATACGATGTGATACTTGTATAATATAATACCCTTAAATCATAGCTGAACATGGGGAAAAGATACGACAGACCTCTGCTAAGGAGCATGTTCCTGAAACAACGGTCGCGAGTTTTATAACATCTAGTCAGAAATTCCCGAACTTATAACTACGTTATCTCCCTTCATAGAAGACACGTGAACAGTAGCTTCCAATTAGAGGTTGTGACACAAACACACTCAAATCAAACATGGTGACCGCCACGGAAACCTTGGCAATGAACGAACCTTAGACTTAGCAACTCGATTATCACAGGTAGACATTTTAGCTGGAAAGCGCGAGACTTGGGATTCGCTATGATCGAGGAATCTGATAGGCTCCTCAGCTGGGTCGGTAGCTAATGGAAATTAGTGCCGAATAGGCGGGATATTACGTGAATGGCTTGATAAGATGTACGGAGTTAAAGCTAGATCAAACCTCCTGTTAAAGATGGCTAAGGGATAGATCTTCTGGTTTAACTCGGTAACTACACTTCCAACTCCACTTCCTTGCTACTAGTATTATGAACTGACTATTTCACAGTCGATATTGAGTTTGTGTGACATATGTGCATTGACTTATCGAAAATCGGTGACCTAACTCCATGCCCTTGATTGCCCAGAAAGACCATGTATACACAATTTCCGTACATTATGAAGTGGGAGTGTCAGAAGTATGTCCCTTATTCTAGGATTCTAAAATGTATGCAACCGATTCAAATTAAATGCCATTTACACTTTTTTCTATTTTTATTTCATATACAATGATCTTAATCACCAATTAAATAACGCTTTCTATCTGCGTACGTACGATTTGAAAGGCAGACGAGGGGTTCAATTGCGACCAAGAAAGGTATTATCCTAAACTGATGGAGTCAATATGGTCTAAAATAAACGTTTTACTTGAAATGTGAAGACTCTCGAATTTATAAAACATAAACAGTCAAGCGGTCGAAATTAATCACGGAAAACCCGAAGCAATTATATTGGCTGCTGCTAAATTTTAGTGTTATAAAGTTGGTTAGATCTAAATCATTGTAAAAAAAAAAAAAAAAAAAAAAAATCAACGAAACGAAATAGCAATCTAATGACAATAATATTGCCTGAAAAAATCAAAATACAAAGACGGCAATAAAATGCAATAAATTATGGAAGGTGTATCCTCGTTATTCTAGTGAAAGTCAAGAGAGAAGGTCAAGATGTTATGTGAAGAACTCTCTAGTTTTATGAATAACACGTGACCTCTAGCGTTGCTCTTCAAGACGAATCCAATGATAGTCAAGATTGACGTAATAATATATGACAGTTCTAGAATTGTAGCCTACATTTGGTTTGTAGTGACATATGTTTTGTTTTTATTGCTATGACAATTACTATAATTAGCATAATAACAGTTGTATAATGGGTGTACTTTTTACTGTCATCGGCTTACATTGCAAGGATATTTCTTTTTGTAGCGATTTTTGGACACGCTCGGGGACTTGCTGGTCTTGCGGACACTTTAATATCCCATCGCATAACATCCCAACACCGTGTCAATCATGAGGCATTGGAAGAAAATAAATGTAATTTTGGTCTAGCTGTCCATGTTGTTGTTCTTCTTCTTGGAGTGACACACCAAAAAATGTCTAAGGCTCCGCCAGTTTTAGTGAGATCGCTATAAAACTTGGCATGCGTGTTTCTGCATCGATTGACGGACTTGACATTACAATTCTTGTTATATTCTGAAAACCCAAGCCCTAGAAAACTAGCATAATCATCCACTGAACTCCGTGAAACACCGATACCTGTTATGGGATAAAAGTGGTGCTGAAATATCAATATTTCTTTAAAAACCAATAACAAAATGTGACTGGTAAATGTACAGTTTAAACTCTTTTATGTGAGGCATGGTTTGACAGAAATTTTACCAATGGTGCCCACAATCTTTTCTTTATACCTCCGTGATGTAACTGTATAATAAAGATAACGAAATAAAAAGTATTTGGAAAGACGAACTGTACAGCATGATTGCCAATTTAACGCGAGCCATAATTCTAATCCTAGATTTTAGCCAGCGTCATTCTTTAACACTATTCTTCAAGATTATTCTTAAGCAATATTCTTTAAGATTATTCTACCAATTCGCTTCTTTAGTGATTCTTAATGTTCAAATGGTTCTCTTAAACAGGAAACTCAAATTACCAGTCAGCCAATTTTCAGCTTTTGTGTAATTTCTGTTTGCTAGAGAAAGCAAACGAAAGACTTTGCACTGCGTAATATGTAGTGAGACAAAAATACATACCTAAATAGTTTTAATATAGTATAATATGTCATCTCAATAATTGGTTTATGAGATATTTGTTTTCTACACTAATGGTGTCTTTAATTCATTGTATTATTTAGTATTTGTTTTGCTTTCTTATAATTACGATATTACACTTGACTAACTCCTAATATACATAAAAATAATGTGATATTTTTAGCAGTCACTTCAATAAAAAAAAAGCAACAACGATATTAGGGCATGTGAAACGTGATAGCTCATAGTTAATATTAGAAATAATAAATTATATAAAATTTGCGAATGTAAAAACTATTGTTGTTACTTGTATTAATTTATTTAATTAAAGAAATGACCAGAACTTTAGTTTGAATCGATAGTTTTGATTATTATTTCGGCCTTAATGATAGTTGGGTTTTGCATGGTTTTAAACTTTATATTTAACCTTTATTTTGGCATGTTCGGTCTTTAAGCTAGTTCTGGCTAGGTGATCGAGAAAAGAAACGAGCATATACGATTGCGTTGCAATGTGCTCCAAGCTCTGATAAATTGTGTCCAAATAAAGACATTGCAGCACTCAGGGTTGCGTGCCATTGGAATTCCAAATCACTTCCTTTTCACGCCTAGCACCTCCGATTCTCTGGGACCCATGTCGAATACTGAACCTAACAAGTTCTTTAACAACCCGAATACAACCACCCCAATAACAGTTCTCAAAATATCTCATCTAGATCTCATTCAATCGATGTAGTTGAGCTACTTATACACAAGTAAATGCATTTGAAAAAGACAAATGGAACACGGTAAAACCCCACACTTCTGTGGTTGTCATATATGACCAAATTAAACCAACCCATGTTCCATGATAGCCAATTCCTGTATCACACGCCTGGCAAAAAAAAAACGAAAAAAATTATACGACACCGTGGCCAATCACCATTTAACGTCCTAAAATTGTCATTTAAAACGCGATGGATTTATTTGAGTTAGCCCTCACCCATTTTTAACGCCATAAATACTTAAATATAGATCTAGAATGTGTTTTATTGGTCTACATCCAGACGTCTATGTCAGAAAGTAAAACGACCTCTAACGGTGAAATAATTAGTTAAAAGTTAATGTATTGCACAAGGAAACTGGTTTTGACAGCTGTAACGGAATTTACAACTTGGTGAAAAGACCATGATGTGTTTTAAGATGGGAGACTAAAATAGTCACAGTTTCGTGATGTTACATTTTTCAGGTGTTTGGTAAAAAGTGATATTAAATTGTCTTCGTGTTTATAAATGGCTGACTACTGAAATGCAATTGGAATTAAAGTCTTACTTTTCTGCAAAAACAGGGCAGTGTACTATGACGTGTCCTGACATATATTTGGAATTCCAACTGTCAAGGGTTCTTTTACTTGTACGCCAACGCCCAAACCTACTGACGCCATCACGCAAGTCTGGCAGTTGTATATGATCACAGATCGGAAACCTCAAGACGATACAGCAAATATGCTAGGAGCGTCTCCCTCACTTCCCCGGTTTCTCGAAAAGCTCTACACATTAGACCACTTCTTCTCATCCCATTTCCCCCAAAAAAGGATTTAACTTGATTCATTTAGTTCACGTTCGTTTCGCACATACAATTTCAATGAAATAATAATCACGATCACGTCTTGGCTAAGCTCTACGCTCTGTTTAATATCGAAATTTAAATCTAATTGAAACACTCATTTTTAAATATTTATTAAGCTTCATATCGGCAAAGTTACTCCTTAAAATAACCGGCAATCTATCAAAACCGGTAGCACATGCGCACGTAGCGTGTCGACTATATAACTCTTCACGAAATGAGATAACAATAGTAATATGACCCCAGATAACCCCGCTTATTAGCATATGAGTAAGTATGAAAGGTATATAAAGAGTTGGGATGTTTGTAATCGGTGGTTATGTTTTCAATCAGCTATAGTATGCCCACAAGACAGTGGGGTAAGTCAGTTTGGACAAGTTTTGATTGTATACGTTGGGCTACGATCAGTAACCATCTTTTCATATAGGTAAGAACTTATAGTTTGTTATAAACCTATCATGCTTTATATCACCCGGTGGGCCATATTTAATACATCTTTATTACGTTGAATAAAACCCGAACGATCTCAAAAGAACATTCTGATTAAGGCAATAAATTTATAAACGAGGAAAGAGGTTAGTCAATTAAGGACACGTAAAATTAAAGAAAACTAATTAAGCATAATTATTAATTTAATCTAAACATTATGTTGAAATTTGTGTGAAATAAACAGCTGACATACATGTAGAAAAAAAAATAATGTTTTGAATATTGTAGCTTATACAGGGAATAATGAAAACGTGTTCAGTTTTAAATATAAAACGTCGGGACCTAATCGTAGTTTAACAAGTTGATCCGATTTTGTGATTTTGTTATTGAAATGTCTAGCCATCTGTTACAATTGATTTTTCAAATAAATATTTTTATTTTATCTTTTGTATATCTTATAAGTTTTGCTGTGTTATTAGTCTGTATATTATGATGAACACAGCTAAATAAAATTGAATATATTTAATGTCTCGTCTATAAGTTAATTAGACGGTTATTAATATTATTAATTATTATTTTTCTTATGACAACAAGAGAGGCGACAGCGGACTAATTTGTCAACATAGGCTATTTAATGTCTATTGTAGCGTGTTACTCTTTCTCCCAAAATGCACTCAATAGCGATAAAGCAAATGATGGAATACTCGCAGAGGATTTCTGCTGAGATGTGGAATCAGATGCTCTTGTTGAATAGATATACCATACATTGATCACGACACTTGACAACAAGAGAGGCAACAATTTAAACAGGTGGCTTCTAAGACGACACATGTTAAAGAACCGTCATTTCATTTCTTTGTCTAGAACCTAAAGTTGAACTTTTGTTGTCCGACCAAAGAAACGCAAATGATGGGTTAATTATTTTAACCCCTGTTCCGTTCGTTTAACTTTAAAGAGGTAAAACATTATATTAAAATGCTTCCGATCAATATAATAAACCTAGATATCATGGAAATTTATTATAAATACAACATTAATAATTATCAAGTCGAATAAACGTTATTTATGGTTGTATATAATTATGGTATTAGTATTGAGGCAAGAGCACAGTATGGTACTGACCTACGAGTAGGAGTTTACGTACTAATATAGCAACAATAGTTATCAAATTACTGTGTATATCAAATAAATAGTCGATATTTATGGATACTAATTTCATTAAGTCGCGGTGGCTCAGTGAGGTCTCTGGTTCGCTTCTGATTTTGGATTAGAAATTTATTTCTCCGTATTATCAGACGTGGTTTCCTCTTGTCAGTGGCAGGAAACGGTGTCCATTGTACATTGGCATGTACGTAAAAGAACACCTGACAGTTGAAATTCGAAATAAGAGTAGGCTATAGCGCCGCTCTCCTGGCTACATTTCCCTCATAGCACACTGCACATCTTCATTAGCCCGGTAAGAGCAGAAACGGGTGAAGTTATATAAAGCACATTTCATTTCATATATTACTAATGTTAATGATTTAGATATTCTACTGACCTAACCGTATATAAATGATTAACCAACTGGGGAGTCCACCTTCAGTCATTTTTTGTTAAACTTGTTCTTCCGGTTCTTGGTGATATTAAAAGCTAAAGGGAAATTTTGTCGAAAGAAATTATATTTATAATACTAATTACTAATAAATGTTAGACTGTACTATACTGGTAAGAAGTGACGTATATTGTTTTATTTTCGTTTGCCAAACCGGCATATTACAGCGTTTATATAGCAGGCTTTTGATTATATTGCGCGAGTTGTGACCCTTTACGTGTGCAAATCGTCTGCGTCAGCACTGAGTGACCTTACATATATCAAAGGAAATTATAAATAATTGTGTCAATTTGCTCTCTGCGGTATGTAAGCAGTAAAGACATTCACTGGCAGCTGTAGTAACAATTGCCACTAGATGATATGTCCCTTCAAATGACATCCGTTGGAATGAATGAACCGTTACTCATAGAGGTGGGGGATGCTAAAGGATTGGATGGGATATAATATCTCAGTTTCTCATTGGCTGTTTTTTTACTGAAATAACAATAATTGGGTACGTGTGAGAAAATATAATCCATGTGTATTTTACGTATTTCATTCATTCATTCATCCATTCATTCAAACTCCTATTTGTTTACTATATACTATTATCATCGCGAGCTTACATGAACGCCCGTATTTAATACATGGCCGAACATTTTCCGAATTGTTATGAGTATGAATCTTGTCATATGTATGTTTTGTTCATCCTCGCTAAAGAATGGTAATATGATCAAACATCTTGTCGCCGATTATAAAAAATTGAAGAGATATTTTTGTATGAAACCCTATGATCTTAGTAAAGGTCATTATTTTAATTGAAGTAATTCAAAATGTAAAGATTTAGAGACAGTCAATAAGGAGAGAGTTGGGGGCGGAGGAGATGGGATTAACGTCCACTCAGACACAAATTAGGTCAATTTTATTTCATTAATTCCCTTGCGGGTAGGGTCTTTAGCAATGGGAGGACCTGGAGTAAACTCACCAGGCTGGAAAGGCGACCCTACTCTTTGTCACGTACAAGCGGGGAATCGAAACCACGCCACTTGGCTCAATGAGAGATCTTATCGTTTCACAAGCACGCTTTAAACCATTTGACCACCAAACCCTCGGTCAATAAGGTTTGAGCATAATAACATCTGGTTAAGTCTATCTACACCGATGTCCATAACACGAACAAAGATCTCAACTGTATAACCTAAGAGTTAAGAGAAGAAAATTATTGGGCAACTCCCATCTTTAAAGGCTCAATACCACTCTTGTTGTAACTGAATAATATGTCCCAATCTTTATTCTGGTCAACAAATTGTACTATTTTACAATATTCCAATTAATTGATGATACAAATTTCATCTTAACACACCTAATTTAAAAAATTGGAAAAATTCAACTAAATGATTTTAAAAGCTTGACGTAAAGCTTTTCAAATGTGACCTGGATTTAAAAATATTTTTGAACCCTCTGGACAAGTAAAATAGGATTTAATGGATAATTTACACAACAGGTAGGACACTAACACATCTAGAACTTAGAATAAGGCTATTCTTTATTTTCTGGAGCTGTCAAGCCAGCAAGAGTGTTATTGTCCCTTTAAATGAAACATATTTACACTATGATATAAATACTGATTCTATTCATTATTTTTGATTGAGATGATCAGGCTGCTCGACTTCCTGTCTATATTCTAATTAGTTTAAATTTAATAAAATATGAAATCTGAACATCAATGATAAGAAAATGCTTCATCTATACAAATTTGTCGTCTACTTAATGAAATATACAGATGAAAATTAATGTTTCTTCAATCTTTTGACTTTACATTACCTCAGCTTCTGAAGTGTTATCACAAACCACTTGAAAGATGTCGTGCACAAGACGTAATAATAATTTTGAACATCCGGTACCAATTTTCAACTATAATGTCTTCCGCACTTTTATATTATAGTTGATGGTTGTAAAACAAAAAATAAAATCCCCTAAACTCCAAAATAGGGTTTATAATAATATCCTGGTGTTGGAAAAGTATTAAAATATAATTTCTATTATGATCAACAACAAAGTGTGCTATTTATCTAGTTTTATTTGTATATAAATGACGTAAGCAACATTGGTAAATAGCATGTTATCTTTTAGATTATAGTGAAATCAGTGATGCAGGATGGAGGGCCTGACAAGGACAGCTGTCTAGTCGTTCGGATGGGACGAAAAACCGAGGTCCCGTGTACACATTGGCGTGCACATAAAAGATCCCTTGGCAGTTGGAATTCGATAAAAGAGTAGGCCCTAGTGCCGCTGCCCGGGCAAAATTTCCCTCATTGCACACTGTATGGCGTATGCCCGTCTTCATTAGCCCAGTTTAGGAGCAGAACAGTAAGACGTTAAACCCCATTTCATTTCATTCCATCTTTCCTATATGACATGATTCTCATATAGGATGATAAATGATATCCTGTGACAATTCCGTTTCATTTTGTAAATGTAAAGAAAAGGAAATGCCCGCAGGTCGGGTAATTTTATACGAAACCATAGGATGTGACAATTATACATCTCTTCTACATTGACGTGTTCTGGCTTTGCGCCTGTTTTGCTATTTAGTTCACTGGGGCTCTGCCAAAAGTGATAAAAAGCGTTACGAATCTTCAGGTCACTGAACTTGACTCTTTTCTTCTGGCATTTACATGATATGATTCTGTAATGAGGAGTAGAAATAATATCATTTACCATATTTGGCAGTTGTCTGTCACAAAATATATTTGGTAGTACGTTAAGAACCGGGTTGAATGATGTCCGGATTGTACAAACTTTTTTGACAAATACCACCGGGATCCTTTAATGAGAGGATATTGCATGCTAAAATTGGTATCTCTGTGGAAATGGTAGGAAGAAAAAGTATCTTTAATGAACATTTTTAAATAATTATCAAAAATATTTTACCAGATGTGACATGTTTTTGTCTTTTGCTTTCATAACTGTGTCCGTGGTAGAGGTCCAGGTTTTACATACTTATATACTACATAACTATAGAAACACTACACAATTATCGAATACATAGTTCAAGACAACTTACATCAACCATGCAATATGTCCTCTTCAAGAAACAGCATACACGCACATGTTGTGATCTACCATAACTATACATACCATATGTCCCGGGCGAGTCAGTTGAATATAATATAATATTTATATTTATTGTGACAATTGTCTGTGGTAATATATTTCTGGGACAATAAAAAGAAGAAAAATACGAATTCCTTAACCATCTGAAACCATTTTAGAAGTCTGTATAACTCAATAGAAGCGATATTTATAAGCATTTGCATGCTTGTTTTCGTATCCTACATACTGTAATTCAGAGCAATGAAAATAGTAAACATTGCACATAAATATTTTTTAATCAATGGGCAATCGAAAAGAACAAATGCAAA